AACTAAAGTAAACTTGTTATCAAAAAAAAAATCCGATGGTGCTGGCGATCCACTTGTACTTTTATCATCAAATTAATTATAATTCCATTGCAAAAAATTTCTAACTATGCTAATAATGACCAATGAAGCGAGCCTAATCAGATATAATGAATGCAAATGCTTATTTATTTATATAGCAATTGTATATTTGGGTGAAATAATATTTTCGAAAATTTATGCAAAAATTTTCAAATTTTTTTCTTTTGAGGAAAGAGATTTATTTAAATAACGAATGATGAAATAAGTAAGTAAATGATGAAGTAGTTTTCCGAATAGAATTATTAATTTTAATTTAGATGGCAAAATTTTATAGTTTCATACTGAAGAATTTATTTGTCGAGGTAATCCTTTCGAGATGAAAAAAAATTTGCATTATTTCATGAAAATTCATTCCATTTTTTTTTTAAAAGTAATATCATCTAATGCATAAATTCTGTGAAATAAATGAAATTAATTGATTTGAAAAAGTTAGTGAAATTGAAGGAAATTTTAACTTTTATTCTTTATTCAAACTTCTTCTTCTTCTCACCATTACTGGTTAGGCTTGCTCCAACGCCTACAAGGGTAAGACGCTTCCAAACGGCGCGGTCTGTTGCCACCGTCGACAGAAATAGAAGCCATTCCTTTTTCCATCATTTAAATTTATTGTATATCGTTTATATTCAAAATCTTTCCTGGCTGTGCCCACGTTTTGATTGGTCCACCTCGCTTTTGACACCATTCGTCACAGGGTTTTTATGGTGGGCGACGAAGAAATATGGACTGCCTTAACCAGCGAACGTGACCAGTGAATGTGATGGTTCTTGCGATCATGCGAGATTTATCCACTCGGTGAACTCGTAAAATATATTTATAGACATGAGTGGTCAAAGCCAAATAACTTCTTAAGCTTTCACTCTCATTGGCCATGCTCACCCATATTGCATTCTTCATTCAAACGACGTTGTTTATTTCCGCATGCATTATAATTTCTCGTTTTTTTTTTGCATGCAATGCAATATCTTTTGCATGCAATATTTAATTTAGAAGAATTTTGAAGAATACTTGTTTTACTTTAATTTTTCGTTAATGAATTTTTATGTACCTATTTTAGCATTTAAATCATCAAAATCAAAAACTCGTGAAAAAAAAAATTATATAATATATTAATTATATAATATTTTATATTTTATATAAAAATTATATAATATTTTAATTCATTGAAAATTAATTCATATTTTAATGATGTCAATTAAAAGTTACCATTTACTGAAACAGTTTCACCAATTTTAACAGTTGGACAATTTAGATTTTTATTAATTCATTTGCACATTTTAAAATTGTAATCCATCTTATTTTTCAGTGAACCATTCTAAAACTATTGAAAAGCGAAAAATTCTACTTGATTTTTCCTTCTAAAATATAATTTATTTGCTTTTTTTTCACTTTAAATTGAGACGATTATCTTTCAGACAACAATTGTTAAAAATCATTATCATTTTTGTATAATGATAGCGATGAAATTTTATTCCTTTTTGTTCATTTATTCATTTTGTCTAAACTTTATTTTAGCAATATGGAAGAAATATGGAAACAACGAGTTGTTCCATATTTTCGCTAATGTATTATTCATTGATTTTCGGCCGAATTGGTAAGTGATGATGTTGTATTTGTATGTATCGATGGAATCGTATTGTGGCAGTATTGTGATGCTAGCTTTATTATTGGTGCTGATTGGTGCTTGATGATATGATTTCAATGGAAAAATTTTTTGTGATTATTCTCATTATCAGTAAAATTTGAAAAGTATACCGATTCTGTTCATTTATCTTTCGCTCTTTTATTTCTTTTTTTTTACATAAAAAGTTAGGAAAAAAAAATAGTTCAGTACTAATTTTTAAAAGATCAACATTATCGAACGTTGTTTAAGGCGAAAAAAAAAGAAAATAAATCTTTTTTTTGACAAATCCATTGGAATACTTACAAATTTTTAGCGAATTATGGAGGTAGTGTCAAAGATAATTAAGAGAAGATCGCAATTGCGATAAATGATAGATATCGGTCAAATATGATAAAATATCGGTCGAAGAGAGAAAAGGCAAAATTTCGACGCTAACAGAACTCGAACTTCCAATCCATTGCACATCATGTTTCCGAGCAGTGATAATAGATATCGATAAGTGGAAAAAGAGATATTAGTAGCATCCGAACTTGTCTAAACTTATGGATTCATTGTATCAGTTAGCTACTGATTAGTAAAAATTTACTGTTGATAGGAAATAATAAATGAGGCAAAACGATCCTAAAATAATAAACAATTTATTGAAATTGTTGATTATTAATTATCTTCGAGGGATTTATGCAAAAAATAAAATTTTCACGAGTATAATCGAATCGTTGAAGAAACTATAGCGAATATTAAATGGAAAAATTAAATCATTTCAGTCGAAGAAGCAAATCAAAAACAAAGAATTATTTATTCATTAATTTATACGATTAAAATATGAAAATATTCAAATATTTACAGCAAAAATTATATAAAAATAAAAAATAAACAAGCAATTAAGAATTCAACTTTTGTTTGTTCCATGAATTTAATTATTACACTGAAGACAGTTTTGAGTTTATCAGAACTTTTCACTTGTAGATAAGATAAGATAATTTTACAGTAATCACTATTAATCCAAGAATTTAAAAAAGGGATTTGTGGATGGTCAGCCATAATGCGCTTACTTTTTTCTGTTAGAAATATTATTAATTATTTAAGAAAAAAACTGATTATAATTTTAAAAAAGTATTTAACTCAAAAAATTGCATTTTCTCGATTAAAATTTATTTCTTAATTTCCATAAGCGCTTTTACAATTTTTTACGATTAAATTGATTAAATTAACTTAAAAAAAATTTGTGGCACTTAAAAAATGGTACTTAAGCTGATAATGAATTAAACAAAATCTATTTATGCATCGTACATCGTATTTATGCATTGCTGCCTGCACTAACCAATCTGCTCTATAAATCTTAAATTATTGCCCTATTAATTTGTCACATTATTTGATTATTTTATAATAAATGGCATAAATTATCTCTTATTAACGTTCCTTATAAAATCCCATACAATAAATTTTTGCCTCATTTAAAAGCAAAAAATATGAGTTCTATAGGAAAGTTCTCTTCAAGATTTTGTCCTCTGACCTATTGGATTCGTTTATGGTTAAATAAACAAACAATCAAATAGTCGGGTTTATTATTCATCTTGCGCGAAGGCAATAAGTATATTATTTATATCGCTTTAGGTCTAAAATAAACAAACGAAATGCTTATTTGTCTAATATGTTAATAATTAAATGTACATAGTTATAAATATCCTTTTCACCTTTTGTGAGTGGTACTGGTCATCCTCAATCTCAAATCCTCTACAAGAGGTCTGAGAAATTGGGGCAAGGCAGATAAGCTTTCAGATGGTCCTACCCAAGAACCCTTACTAGAAAGAGAACTTTGGCTGAAATTCGAACGACACTCCATATTAATTCGACCTCAGAAAGTCTATTCCAGTGCTCCTCTAGAGGTTTTCATATAATAAAATTGATAAATTGATGAGGAAGAAAGGACTGATTTTAACAAAATCGGATTTTCTGTCACAATTATATAAAATAAAAAATAGAAATATCAAAATATCACAGAGTTTACATTGTTCTAATTTTCATAAATAATTTTGCTTATCAATTATTTTTCATTTTATTATTGCTAATAAAATGGAACAATATTCGAAATGATTCAAATCCAACATTTTCTTGCAGAAAACGGTTAGGCAAATGTTGCACTACAATCTCAAAAGCAAGCTGAGCCATACTGATAAAGAATTATTAGAATAAAAAGTTTATTGATTAAACAAAAAAAAATGTTGAAATATACAATTTTTGAAATTCTAAAACATATTTTTACAATAATAAATTAAAAAATCAAATGCAATTAAAATCGTTGAAAATTATTTCCGATGAAAAATTATTGTAAAATGGAGAAAAGAATTGCCGCCGGAAGGATAATTTTTTAGGAAAATTAGGAAAATTTATCTCAATAAAAAATATACTTCAATGAAAGCTATCTCGATTTAAATTATTAAAAATTGAAATCTCTTTAAAATCTAAATTCTCTTCTAATATTATTAGCGGTCGATTTTTAAAATATTTTTATAGTTTTTTTTTAATGTAATTTTCTATTCAGAATTGAATTTTAAGGCCTCGAAAAAATCGAACAATTATATCAACTATATCAAATTATCAAATTATCAATGCTATGATAAATAAATGATATATAAATGATATCTTTTTGTTATTATAAATTTTATTCACAATGATTTTAGCATATAGCACATAGACAATATTATTGCTGATATAAAGTGCTCAGAGATTTGAAATTGATATTGATAAGGTCATCTTTTCAATTAGCCTTAACTCACAATAATAATATTCTAAATAATAATAGATTTATTTATTAATTCAACAATACGCTTTTAATTCGAAACAATTAACAATAAAGATCAAAAAAATTTTATGACAAATTTTAAGATCTATCAAAATTCATTCATTGGAATTTAGCATATCGAACTCAATCTTTTTCATATTTTTCATATTTGAGTTTTATTCGATTATTCGAATAATTAATAATTCCTAAACGCATTTAAAAAAAAAAAAAATTTGCATAATATTTGCAAAAAATTCTTTAAAATAGGCAAAAAAATGAATGTGCTACCATTTCGTGCATAATACAAATACAAAAATAATTTTTCGGAAAGTTTTTGTTCACAATTTTGTTGGCTTTCAAGGCAGCAAAAAAAAAATGGTTGATCAAAATGGGATGGAAAAAAGCACTTTCATTTTATATAGTAAGCACAATAAAAGCCAAAAGTTTATAAATATTGTTATAATAATTATATTAATAATTAATAATTATATTATTATAATAAATAATAAAATGATAATATCATAAAAGGTGTAACGATGGCCTGAATTGATCGCTATTCAAATATAAATCCTTGGAAATATTTTCTGGAATGGTAATCCAATGATAACGATGAGGATCGCGCACTTTAGCGCGAGCATGCGATCTCTTATGCATACAAATAATGCGTATCCTTAAGCCATATTCTAATTTATTCGTTGAAGATGGCAAAGATTTCAAACAACTCAAACTGCTTGGTATTTCCATAACTTTTCGACCATCAATAAGTAAATGCTGAAATTATGAATATATATTTGACATTTTTTTGCAAAAAAATTAAATAATTTTAGCGGAAAATTAAAAAAAAAGAGAAAAATTACTAAATTTCATCCATTAACTCAAATGCTTCAGCTCGAGCTGAGGCCATTCATCAACTAGCTTGCGACTCAAATGAGCCAAAAGTTCGGGAACAATTTAGTGAAATGAATTGAAAGCATTTGCAAAATGCAGCAAAAAAAAAATGAGAAAATCCTAATTTTAGACAATGCTGAAATAAATAAATGTATAATAAATTTGAAATTTAAAAATTAGATGAGGAAAAAAAAATTAAATTTGGGTGATTTGCTAACGAACATTATTCGATTGTCTTCATGATTACTCGAGAAATTTCTGAAGTGCTAAAATATATTTACTTTTTCGATCGATTTCCTCGAATATGAATTATTTCAGGCAAAATTCCAAAAAAAAAAACATCTTAATCGGAGAATAAATGCCGGAAAATTTACAAATATGGGAAATATATAGGGAAATTCACAAACAAATAATTACAGGGAATATATGCGGGAATTTACAAGTAAGTAAGAGGGAATATTTACAATAAAGCGTGCAAGGAATAGACTGTCGAGAAATTTACAAAGACGAGAAATATAATAGAGAAATCTATTTTCCTACAACTTTCACTAAATTCAATTAAATCTACAATTTTCTTGTAAAAATTTAATTTTGCGATAGATTTTGCGATAATCAACGCAATTGATAAAAAAGATAAAATCGAATTTCGAATCAAAACGCTTTTAAAATATTAGCTTTGCTTTATAAAAAAAAAAAAAAAATAAATGGTACAAATAATATTGAAATAAATCGGCAAAATTCAAGTGATACGAATAACAGATGGAATTATTTTTTATAAAAATTTTTTTATAATTTTTATAATTTTTCTTTTTTATCATTTTGCTTTCGATTAAAATATTTTTACTTAAGAATTTTTTAATTAGATTTTCTCATTTTTTGCCACATTATTTACAAATGCCTTCAATTCATTTCACTGATAAGTAAAGTGATTAACGATAATAGCATATCAGGCTAAGCTCAATGCGTAAATACGCATTAAGATTTTTGTTAGAGTCTTGGCTATGGCTATAGACTTGGTTATCATTTGACCATAGAATTAATCGACAGAACGTGAAATGAAATTTTTTTTTAATAAATTCATAAGAAATATAATAAGTATGAGCAATAAGACAAATTAAAAATTTATAAAAACTTATAAATTTATAATAAAAAATAAAAAATAAAAATTATATTTAATAAAAATAAAAAATATTATAAAAATATTAAAAAAATAATATATTGAAATATAATATATATTAAATATATATTATATTAAATATTTAACATATATTATATTAAATATTAATATTAATATTAAAAAATATTGTAATATTATAATAGTATTTAATAGTTAATAAAAATTTATTATAAATTAAAAATTTATAAATTTATTATAAAAATTTTTAGGTACCTTGAAGTATTAAAAAATCGTTTTCATAGAATCATAAAAATAAAACCTTATTTTCGCCTATAAGTCAATTTTATCAACCAAATACGAAATTTATTATTTGTCATTTCACAATGATGAGGCAATTTTCACTCAACAATTGGATTCTTTAAAATATTTATCTAATAGGCATATGGCTAACCAACTACCGTAATCAAACTAGCGATGTCAGTTATATATGCCTAAAGCATAAAGTGAATTTATCAAATTTATTTCCCAATGTGAATATAATCATTCCCAAGAGTATTCATTTATTTAACGTTTTTACTTCTTAAAGTTCTGTAAATATATAAATATTTGACAAGCGATTTGGAAAGTTTATAATCGACCAAAAATTCAATAACATATTTTCATGATTATTATTATTATTGTTATTATTATTATTATTATTATTACTAGGAGAAATTATGTGAGGGATTATTTAATTTGTTATAAGATTAAAACATATTTCTTAGAAATATATTTAAAATATATTTAAAAATTTATTTTAAATATATATGCCATATACATCATGCATTTCCTTCTTTAAAAATAAAAAATTCCTTTAATTTCTTATTTTTTTTAAAATTTATTTATTAAAAAACGAGAATATATCATGATAATTCTGATAATCATAATCGTGGCAAGGATAATTCTGGTAAAAAACTTTGTAAAAATATAAGCTTGAAATTATGGATTGATACCAGGATTTTATAGAAAATGGAACCATTTTTTGTGATTTTTTCAATCAAACAAATTTTCTCACTTATTTATAATTAGATAAGTGAAAAAATATAAAATATAAAATTTCCTTGCATTAAAACCTTATATATAAAATCTTATGTATAAAATATAATGTAATATAATTTAGAATAAATTTTATAGTTTAATGCTGAATTAAAATTAAAATAAAAATTGAAATTAAAATTAAAAATTAAAATTAAAATTAAACAGAGAGATTTTAGGGGATATTTAGAGAATATTATAAAGGTTGATAATAATAAAAAGATGAACTAAAAATATCTCTAGATAAAGATAAGAATAAATGGATAAGGTGGGAATAAACGGATGAAACGGGTGGGAATAAATGAATATTTTGGTCGAATGGTATATTTTATGTTATTTTATGAAAATAATAGAATACCTACACACCAGTAAATTATCGCATATTTTTGTATGCATGAGATATTCATGGTCAAAATATTAAAATTATATATATATATCTTAACTGCAACATAAAAAGCTAATCTAGATTTGATTATTAGCATAAATTAAAAGAATATTCATAAATATATCGCAAAAATATCTCTAGATAAAGATAAGAATTGATAAGATAAGATAAAAATAATATATGAAACGAAGATAAACAATTGCTATAGCCGAAAAAAAAAGAAACTCAAAATTGCAAATGCTTGCTTGCCTAAGGCATATATGTAAAAAAAAACATAGGAACGAAAACACAAAAATATAAAAAAAAAACTTACAATTTCTTATAATTCACATTTTTTACATGAAAGGGCGGTAAAACAAAAGAAATTTTATTATATGATTGACAAGAATAATACTTCATTCTAGACTTCTTTTTTGATATAACTAACGTTCAATCAATCAAGCGCTTTGTTTCACGAAAAATATTCATACTTTTTGAAGGGTAAATATAACTAAAATATAAAGTGAAAAATCTGAAAAAAAATAGGAACAAGCAATAATCAAGCAATCGAAATAAATATTTTAAATCATTCATTCTAATCATTAAAGTAATCATCAAATTATGTAATCACTGGCTTTATCAAATCATAAGATTCCAAAATTCCCTATTTGCGACGAATGGAACTTATCAAGATAAGAAAGAATATTAAAGAAGTTTCCGCTATGAGCAATAAAATTATCAATAATTATCTTTTTTCAACAATAACTGATTGTTTTACGACAAAAACTTATTTATTAACATAGAAATACTTTTAAAATTATTTTTACAAATTATATCAAAATTTAGCTAATTTTAAATTAATTAAAAACTTTTTATTAATTTTATTATAATAAAGCTTTAATGCACAGAAAAAATTATTTCAATATACAACAAAAACAATTTTTTTTAACTAATTTTTTAATTGAAAACTATAAATTGACATTTTTTTCCTGTAGAAGTGATTTTTGATAAATTATATCGTGTGAAATGAGAAGATGATTTACGACAAACGACAAGTGACAATTGAAGAAGAGAAAGGCCATTCGAATGAAAATAAAGAAGAATCGAATGATATGATAGAATGCTTGCTATAGGATATATATCAGATGAAATAGATTTGGTTAAGATAATAAAGCAAAATGAATAATCAACTTTTGATAAACCCCTTAGCACGCAACATCTGCTCAATCATTCACCCCTGAATGACCTTTATAACCGTTCAATTTGACCTCTCTCTTGAAAATTATTGATAAAAATCAGTTAGTTATAAGCGTTTCGCCTATAGAGCATTAAGGTAGAAAGAAAATTAAAAGAACGTAAGATTTTTGATTGAATTTTTTGTTTAAAAAAATAGTTCAAAAGATGAAATTTTAAAATAATAAATGTTCACTTATTAAAATACCTTTTTTGAATTTTCTTGCTAAAAAAATTTAGCTGGCATTTTAATATAACAGTGAGTTTTAATGTGGTACTATGGCTTTCCACATGGTACTAATGGGTTTTAATACGGTGCCTCGGAATTTAATACGATGCTAAGGGTTTAAATATGAATGCAGTTAATTTATAATTTCATATCTCCATATATTACATCTATTTTCTGTTAAATAATAAAAAATTCCTAGGAAATCAATGAATGAAGTACGTTTAATGAAGTACGTTTTCTGGAAAATTACTATTAGTACGCTATAAAAGTGATAAGAAGAATTTACTGAAAAAGTTGAAATAGAGAATTTTTTTAAAGAGCATTCATTCATTACTGGTTAAATTCGCTCCTCTGGCTTGTCGCACCAGAATATGTCAGAAAATTTCTTGATGATAGAAATACAAGAAAGGATTTTTTGGATTTGGATTTATTTAAGTTTACTCTGTCGGTAGAACCTCAGTATAGGCACTCTAAATTAAGCAACAAACCATTCAGCCATTTTATTCTCCTTTGTTTTTCTTCGCTAAACGACACTGTCGCATGATAAAGAGTGGTGGATGCGTAGGCGGATTCAAACCTAAATCTCGGTTCATGGTGGAAGTTGTGTCACCACCGATATACTAGAATATCAGAAATCCTAATAATAAACAAGATTTATCAGTAATATCAAACCAGATTTTTGATATTACTAATTAAAAATAATGGTGATTTCCAAAATAGTTGGAAAATGCTAAAGTAAAGCCAAAAAAAAAAATGAATCTCTTTTTTATTTTCTTATTCGTAATCATCGTCTATCGAACTGTCATTTTGAAAATTTATGACTATAGAAGTGATTTCACGAAAAAAGATATATTAAGCTTGGGGGGATAACGATTGCTAGTGATCAATCATTAAGCTTAAAACCATTCGCATTCCATAATTAATTAATCGAATATGTATTTTAAAAAGGTTAAAACAAAAAAACTAAAAAAAAAGTGGGTCGATTTTCTGGAATTTCGCAAAATTCTAACGATTGTTTCATGGTTATTTTAAAAAAATTTCATGACTATATTTAAAATTTTTCTTTTTTTTTAGAAGCATTTCAGGTTAGACTTATTCCGCTGACTAAAATTTGTTAAGGAAGTTCCTTAGCGACAGAAATACAGGTGAGTCGCTAACATCACTTGGAATTTCGAAGTACGACTTTACTTCTCTCGGAATCAGAACCCCAGTATCAGCACTCTCAAATGAAAGCAACAATTTACTGAGCCATTTTCATTTCTTTTGCTTTCGAAGTCCGGCAATATTGCAAGTGTTATGCATCAGTCGGAATTCGAAAAACCATAGTTTTTGATTCTCAGTGGCAAAAAGAATTAGCTTTCGCACTTTTTGAAGACTGAAAATTTTCAATAGAATTCTCGAACCGAATTTAATAAAAAAAGTGAAGCATTTCAATCCGTATCTATATTGCCGTGATCGATTTTACTATATGGTTTTGAGACATGGCCAATGAGAGTGGAGGATATTAGGAAGTTATCTGCCTTTGACCACTCTTGTCTAAGGTACATATTACGGATCCGTCGAGCGGATAAGATATCACAAGATCGCATCCATCTTCGTTCAAATACCACTTGCATAAATAATGTTATCACAAAGTGCCGCCTTCGCTATTTAGGGCACATTCTCCCTCGTCCACCACAGGAGTTGACGCATATTTCGTTATTTGCTAAAACGTGTGATAGTTGGCGTCAAAAGCGAGGTGAGCCAATCAAGACCTAGACTGATACGGTGAGAAAAGATTTTGAACGTATAGGTGGACCAGCAAAATATGGACTTAGACGATGGAAAAACGAATGGCTTCCATTACTGTCGACGACGGCTCAGACCGAGCCGCTTGGAAGCGTCTTACCCTTATAGCCGTTGGAGCCAGTCTAACCAGTATTGGTGAGAGCTGTTAGAAGAAAAAGAAGAATTCATCCACCTTGCATTTTTGCATTGCTAAGCCCGCATTGATAATTTGCATAAAACTCTTTCGCCAGAGAATCGTTCGGAAATAATAATATAGATGGGCCTTGAACTTTATACTTAATACTTATGCTTACTTCTTGCAGCGAACAGAAGTTGAATCCATGCTGTTTATCCTAAGTACCCAAAACATTAACTAATAGTAATAGTGGAAAAGATGGTTTAAAAAGAAAGATCATAGCATCAAAATTTAATAAAATATTCAATATTCAATAATATTCAAACTGGTAAAACTATACAAGTTTAGATATAGAATCTAGGCGAAAAAAAATTTCTTTTAGAAGTAATGTTTATTTTATTAATACAACCTTAGTGGGTTATTTTGACTGAGTGGTGTATTGTATATTGTATTATATATTGCTGTATTGTGGTGTATTAACATTATTAATGCAGGTGGTATTTGAGCCAACGTGGATACAATTATGTACGATTTTATCTACTCGAATCCTATACTTTAGACATGAGTGGTCAAAGGTTAATAGCTTCTTAATATCTTCCACTTTCATTGGCCATGTTTTGCAGCCATGTAGCAAGATTGAACGAATTGCAGCTATATGGAAGCGGATTTTCGTCTTTATGGTGATTTCGCGACGGCTCCATAAAGGTTTCATTAACCGGAAAAAATATAATTCTAGCTGCTGTTATCCGAGTTACGATTTCATCCTTTGGGATTAGAGTGGATCCAAGGTATTTAAAACCCAGCACTTCCTCAACCAGTGATGAATTGATAAAAATAGATATTTTATCAGCATCTTATATATACGACGAAAATATTTTCGTTTTATTTACATTGATTTTGAGTCCAATTCTCGCTGCAATTGTTGACACATTGACACATTGTTTAACATTATTTACATTTCCTCATAATTGTCAGCAAAAAGAACTACATCATTAGCGAATTCTAAGTATGTTCTGGACGAATGATTTGCACACCTCTTGAATGCTACAAACGGTGCCCATTATCCAGTCTATCGAAGGAAAGGACACGACCCTTTACAGACCTATTTCATAGATTTTTATTTCGAAGGAATTTGTCAGTTTTCTATATTTGTAGAAACCGACATGCGCTCATAAAATGCCTTTATAAATCGAATGATCCTCTCTGGAACACCGTTCCATCACCTTCCCACGCGCCGCTCTATCAATCAAAGGCTACCACAAAAATCAATGAAACAGTTGAGAGTGGGTTACAAATATTTAAAACGATGTTTCAACATTTTTCTTAACGTGAATATCTGGTCAGCACAACCGCACCTCGGTCTGAATCCAGCTCGATTAGGGCGCATCTTGCCATACTCACATAAGCCAATAGAATAAAAGAGAAGCAAAAATTATCGCTGGGACGTTTAGCAGGTTGATTCCTCGATAATTGTCGCAGTATGTCCTATCATCTTTTTTGAAAATTGGGAGCAGAATTGCTTAGCTCCATTCATCTGATATATTTCTTTTTTCCATACTAGAGAGTACATTTGTTGAAGGTGCGTTATGAAGGACGATGGACATTCGAAAAGCTCAGCCACTCAGACCATCCCATCTTCTCCCCGAGTTTTATTGGCCTTAAGCTTATGGATAACGGAAATTATTTCTTCTTCTCTTGGAGGCTCGCAATTGCAAGCGTATGGTTCAACAAACGTATCAGCTATATCAGGGGCAAAAGATGGCATTTCATGTTAAATTGGGTTTCAAAGAATTCTTTCCATCTTATGAGCGTTCCTTAATAATCTTGACTGGAACGTCATTTGCTGTCCCTTATCATTTCAGGAATAAACAATACTCTTAATATAAAATCCAAATGGTGCAGTGAACCTGAACAGTGAACTGTTATATTTCTTTCCGCAAATGATTTTCGGCTCGAAAAGTGTCATCCTTATAGTCAACAGTGGAACTCTAAGCAGAAAATAATAATTAACCTTAACTTTCAACAACTTACTGTTTCTATTTTTCTATTATCGGGAAATTTTAACAACTCCTACCAATTCAAAATTTAAAATTAAGAATAATAAAAGAATTGAATTGATAATGGAAATCACCTGGAAACATTTAGAAATCACAGATGATAAAGAATATTCGAAACCGAATTCAACCGAAGGCAATGCATTGGGAATTGAATTCAATTGGCTCGCGTCAATTACTCTTCTATGTACAATTATCTCGATTTTTGAGCTAAAATAAGCAGAATATATAATTTTTTCTTAATTTTCTGGAAAATATTATTAGAAAGTCGCTAAATAATGAAAAAATCCATCCACCAATAAATAATGGGAAAAAATAAAAAAGGTTGAAAAAAAGACATATAACATCCCTCGAAATTTAGAATACCTTGAAATTCTGGTAATAAGCAATTCGATGAACATTCCTGGAACATCTTTAAAGCCAGGTAAGAACTGCGGTCCTCCATATCCACCATCCCTTAGCTGCCGATAGCGTACACCTTCATTTAAAAGGCATAAAAAATCGGCAGACCTTAAAAATCTCAATAAAATCGAAAATTGTTGCTAAGAAAATTTTATTAAAAGCGAAAATACCTTAAATCAATATTCCTAGCTTTTATATCATCAATTGAGATCCAATCTGCAGAAAGCGATTCACCATCAGGTACCTTTTTCCTCTCGCCTCCTAGAAAAAAAGCAAAAATTTAGTTTTTCAATAAGTTCCATTTTTTTTTCAAAAAAATCCATCAAAAAAAAGCTGAAAGAATAAGAAGGAATTAAAGCATCCAATGAATCGAAAATTATTAATTTCAGGACGGGCAAAATAGCTCAATTTATATTCTTCTGAAATCGAATTCAATCGAAGGTAATACAATCTGAAATACGCCTGGAAAGCTTGGAAAGAATTTCCTAGGAATTGTTTTGTACTTTCTAGGAATTTTTATTAATGAAGAAGTTAGAAAGGAAACAAACCAATAATATCACAGTAGAAAACGAATCTATACCAATCGGCTCCTTGGACTTGTAAACTTAAGAATTCCTTAATTTCACCATGAAATCCACTTTCTTCAAATAATTCTCGCAATACTCCCTCCTATACTTCAAAAATCATCGATACATTTGGTTTTTGAAATAAGCAATCGGTTAAATCTTACCATAATAGTTTCCTCAGGTTTAATACGACCTGCAGGTATATACCATCTGCAATATTTATTATAATTAAACCTGAAATTAAATGGCAATTTGATAACCTACTAACTAGCAGTTACATAATGTAACATAATAACAAGCAACATTGGCTGAATAGAAAAAGTAAAATCCAAATAAAGAAGGATACACAGTCAATGCTTACTTTCCATAGCAGCACCTTTTGGCTTCTTGAACCATTAATAGTTCCAAAATGCCATTATTATCGCGAAGAACAATCGCAGCTCCGACATAAGTGATACCATAATTTACTTCATTCGGAATATCTTTAACTATTTTTCATAAAGTATAAGAGATTAATTAATTTAAAGTTAGCAATATCTTTTCAATAATACAAGATAACTGCCACCGAGAATCTTGGCTTGGGAATTCGGCGGATGCGCTAGGCAGGCTTTGTCGAGCAGTAGTGTCATTTAACGTATAAAGGAAAAGAGAATGGAATGGTTTAGAATGTTGTTGCTTAACTCGGAGCGGAAATTCTATCTCCACAGAACCAGAAATGGTGAATGCTTTAAAAAAAAAATAATAATGGCTTGTTCACATTTCTAAAAGATATCTAAGAAAATATAAAAAAGGTACCAATCACCAATAAACAAAGAAACAAATAAAACATTATGAAATTGCAATTAAAAAAGAGAAGATAAATTGATAAGAGACGATAAGAAATGAAAACAAGATGATAAGAAAATCAAATCAATTTATCATTAGTCTCTCGAGAAAACTTTGAACAAAAAAATCGTTCAAATAACAAGCACTTTATAACAATAACGAAGAAGAGAGAAAAACTTAATTAATTACCAGAAGTCATTATCAGTATCAGTATCAGTATCATTATCACTATTAGTAATTATCACTATTCACAACAAAAGTTCGTTATCGAATTACATTAAAGATAAAAAAAATTCGTTGAATAGCGTGGTACCTATAAAGGATTTTTTTCAAGTACAATAAATAAATTTTTTTTTGTATTATTTTTTAAATTTTGTTTTTTCTATTTTTAGCTTTTTTTTTCGATGATATATACCTTATTTTTAATTTTTCGTTGAATCGTTTATTAGCTAAATAGGATCGATTACTTAAGAAAATTAACTAACACGAGCGAATGGATGAATGAATGAATGAAGCACGAAGAAAATGATGAAAAACAACAAAAGAATGAAGATATATGAATGATAAAACTGATAAACCAAAAATGATAAGTCCTTTTAACAAAAAAAAATTTTCTATTCTTAGGAGGAAGAAAAAAACTCTCTCAGCAAAATTAAAATAAATAAAAAATAAAATTTTTCTAAAATTTATAATAATATGTAAATTATAAAATAATAAAAATTATATAAAACGAATCCGAAAATTAAAATTATTATATAAATAATTTTTAAATGATATAATATAAATAATTTAAAATTATAAAGAAAAAATTTTTAAAAAAACTAACTTTTCATTTTCATATTCGCAATTCCCTCTTTTTCGTCATCCATTCGTTTTCAATGAAAATATATCTTTTAAAAAAAAAACTATCAATAAAACTAAAATTAATCAATGAAACAATAAGCTTAAAAAAAATTAAATTTATATAATTAGTGATAAAAGATAAGAACAGTGATAAAATGAGATTATGAATGAATGAATGAACGAATAACAATAAAATGAACAAATGTTACTTGTTACGTTGTAAAAAATTATGAACAACCAACCATTTTAAAGTGTTTATTTAAACAAACAAAAAATTTTGTTACAAAAAAAAAAATGTTATTTTTATTATTTTTTTCATATTTTTTATTATACGATAAAAACATTGAAAAACATTAGTTTTTTAATGAAATAATTTAATTATTAAAATTATTAATTTAATTATTCAATTGTTAATAATTTAATTATTAATTATTAAAATAAGATTTATTTTTTAAAATTTATGGAAAAAAATGATAGAAATTTTTAAAATAATAGAAAATAAAACAAAAAAAACCCAAAAAATATTTATAAAACGCTTGAAGGTTGAAATAACCTAATGGATAATACTTTATATTAATAATTCAATAATTTTTATAATAATATTTTTGCATTAAAATGCAAAATAGCTAAATGGCTAAATGTTGATAGATGAATCGCATTTAATCGGATAGAAATGAGCTATGAGTCTCATATCGTTGACACAAAATATTTTAATTAATAATTGAGCATAGAATGATAAATAAATATTATTAATATTTTATAATAACGATATTATTTATTTAATAACAATATTTATTATTTTTATTCTTTTTTGTTTTATTGTTTTCATTTTGTTATTATAATAATAACAATAATAATAAGATTGTTAATAATAATAAAACAAAATTAATAATAATAAAACATAAAATTTATAATAATTATATAAATAATATTGTTCATCATATGAAATAAATGAAAAATATTTCACCAAAAAAAAAAAAAATTCTGAAAAAAAGTAAAAATATAAATGATAAATGATAATTTAAAATTAGCGACATTTACGTTTCATTCCTATATTTTATTATAAAAATTATAAATTATAAAAATTCGTTTTAGAAAAAATAAAATAAACTCATAAAAATTCTCATTTTTTTCTTTTCCTTTTTTCCTTTTCTTCTCCTCTAAATTTATTTTTAAATTTCCTTTTTTTCGCCAAATTTTATAAATCAATTTAGCACAAAATCCTAAGCCGAATTTCAATTCTCTAAAATCTTTTATATTTCTTTTAAAAAAGAATTTAGAAAAGGAAATAATAAAAAAAATAAAATTAAATGGAAAAGACTGAGGAGATTTGTATGGATTATTTGAGGGTTTATAAAGCATTTGTTACGATGGTAACAGTAATTTAAGAAAACAAAGAAAAGGAAAAAGCAAGAAAAGGAAATTTAATTTAATTTAAATAATAATATAATAGTAAATATTAATAAATATTAAAGTAATGTTAAATATAAAAAATAAAATAAAACATCAAATATTAAACTATAAATATAAAATGTTGAATTAAAACACATTTCATATTACAGTTTTAAATTTTAATTTTTAATAAAAATTTAATAAAAATTTTTTTATGCGATAATTTTGCATTTTTATTCATTTGCAAATTTATTTTTTAATATTTTATTTCTAACATCGAATAATATTAAAAATAAATATATATAAAAAAAAGTAGCGAAATTTCATTGACGATCTTTGATTATTTGAAAAATGAAAAACAAGCAGGAAAGCAACAAAACTGATGATGATCAAATGACAAAATTTTATATGCTGAAACACTCAAACAAAACGATTATCGTTATTATTTATTTTATAATTTTTATTTTATCAGAAATATTTATAATTCTAAATTTATAGCACAAATATTCTTTATTAGTTACAATAAAAACTAATTTAATAAGAACTAATTTTAGGCATAAAAAGAAAAAATCTTCACTTGACTAGGCTTACTTGCAGACTTATTTCATTAGACTATCGACCAAAAGTGATAAAGATAAGTGATAAAATAACCTGATAAGTGATAAAGTTGTATAGGTATATACGGATTATGTTATTTTCTATTAAAAGTATCACATGAGCTATTTCATTCCAAAATTATTAATTTATATTTAAAATTTTGAATAAACAAAAAAATAAAATAATCAATCGATTCTGATTAATAATTTTATTTTTAAGAAAAATGAATAAGCCGCTTAGAGAGAGAGGATGGCTCAGTGGGTTGTTGCACAATTTGGAGCACCAGCGCCAAGGTTCTATTCGCCGCAGGAGTGAAATCAAAAATCCGAATGATGCTGACGATTCGCCTCTATTTTAATGAATCGCCAATCGAATCTAACCAATAACGGTGAGTGATCTTGAAACTTTTCTTACCATTTCTGATTATTTATTTATTGCTGTCGCTATTGAAATATTTTCAAAACTTGTGATTTCTGAATAAATAGTCGATAATAAAAGGTTTCGAAAATTGCTTACTGTATAATATAAATAATAATAATGCACCACAGTGTGGTTGGTACAATAATAAAACTATTATTGATGCATATTAGCGTAAAATTTTGAACTATAAGATTGAATGAAATGAATGAATAAATGAATGGTACCAAATGTCTTTCTATGGTACTTTGATATTTTTTAAAAAAAACCATAGAGATCCAAAATAAATAAATATTTTCTATTTAGTAGAAAAAAATAATCATAAAATTTTTCTTCGAAAATTCAATTTCTTCTTTTTAAGCAACATTTCCAGAGGATTTATAGAAATCGCAATATGAGATTTCTGAATAAAAAAGAAAAGCGAAAAAAAAGAAAAAATGCCAGACATCCATTTATCCAGTTAAAATGGATATGAATAAATCAAATAGAGAAAATGGAATTATTTGACTTTAAATTTATTTATAAAAATAAAAATAAATAAAAATAAATGCTCGACAATATCGAAGATAAATACGATCAATTCTTTAAAAAAAAAAAAAAAAAGATCAAACCATTTGAATTTGTTTTTCAAATTTAGGAGATTACTAGCGTTTCTAACAATTGATAAGTGATAAGTGATAAGAAAATGAAATGATTCTATTGAAACGAAAAAAAGAAATTTTAAATGAACGGAATGTGGAAGAAAAAAATTTCAAAAAATGAACGAATAGATAAACGATTAGCGCATCGCATTTCTTGTTTCACTCACTATCAAAAGTGGTCAAAAATTTTCACCGTGAAGTAGGTTAGAAATATCGGCGAGTCGTCACTCAGAATTAATTTAACTGAGACTCTGATATACTTTTTTTTTTCGTAGAGAATCGAATTGTTCAACACAATAATTTGAACCACTCGGCTATCGTTGCCCTCGTGATAAATTAATAAATCGAAGAAAATTAATAGCTTTTGGAGAGAGTAGAATGAATTTATTCAATCACAAAAATATTTATTTCAATAATAAATTAAAAAATTGAAAATTAGCCAAAGCAAAGAACAACGCCCAGTTCGAGGCTTGGCCAGGATTTGGCTAGGGCCTAGGCTTCAGCTAAGGTTTAGGATTAGGCCAAGCTTTAGTCCGAGGAAAATTAGCCGAAGCATAAATTGAATTTTGTGTTTCCTTCCTCTTCACTCTTCCTAGACTGCTTGAATAAATGTGTACTCATTTTAAAGATCCACTCGAACAAGGAAAAAAAGAAGCTAAACTAAATCACCTTTTTCTATCGGTTAGTTTAGAATATAAATGTTTCTAAAGAGAATGTCGTATTTCCATCATTCGTATTTCCATCATCAAGTGACGGCAAAATTTATTTGATCCGATAAGTCAGTGGAGCCAAGCGAACGAGCAATAATGTGCGCATCTAGAAAAATAAATAGATGGCTGGGATAAATGCATGTGCATGTGATGTGATGCATGCTATCGGTCGCTCGGTTGTTCACTCGTTACATTCAGGAGGATTTTAACAATGTGACATACATGCATGTCACCATTTTTATCATTCATCGTACCAAATCAACTTTAAATTTTGTTTCCATAATTTGAAATTATAAATTTGCAATCCATGCATAAAATAAAGAAAAAAAGAAAAATCGTACAACGAAAAAGAAAATTTGTCAAATCGATTGTGGTGATTTTATTGAAAATTCATGAAAAAGCTAACCGATTAATATTTATCGAATGCTTTATAAATTTTATAATTAAAAAGGAATAGCGATTTTAATAAATGAATAAATAAACGATTTTAAATAATAAAAAATAGAAAATATGTGCAAATTTTTGCTGAAAAAAATTCGATAAAAATTTGCTGATAAGATAATCAAATATAATAATAGTGAATAATCAAATTAAAATCACTATTTGAACAGTTGCACTCATCATTTCTGTTTTTGGCTAACTTTTTCGGCAGCTAAAAGGATGACACTTCTTCATTCAAGAAAGTCGCTTCATTAAAAGAAGGAAGAGTGAGTCATTGGCACCATCAGGAACCAGGAACCAGGATCCAGGATCGATTGCTTTTTTTGTTTCGAATAGAATGCATTTTCAACTAAAGATTTCTGATTTGAATGAGTTCGTGCAATAAATCTTTGATAATCATAATCATAAAAATAAACATAATCACATTGAAGATCAATCAAAATTAGCTCCACAAATTTGCGAGACTTTTACTAGGAGAATCAAATGAAATACGGATATTCGTCCCACTGAAGAATAAAGAGAGGGTGGGGCGGTTGTTCCCCTCGTTTATAGTGAAGTTTTCATCCAGGCAGAAATAAATTCATCTTTTAAAAACTTATCTGACGACTCATCCCTATTTCTATCACCCAAATGACTTCCCAGCAAAATTCCTCTGGTTCCGAGGAATAATCGCAACCAGTAATCCAGTAATCCAGAAATGGTGAACGCTTTTAGAAAAAATCGGAAAAGACTAAAACATAACAATACAAATCCTTTAGTGCTTTATATAATCATAGTGTATAAAAATTATAAAATAATAATTATAAGGACGACAATAATAATAATGAAAATAATGTCTAAAGATAATATAAGAAAAATAAAGAGAAATATTTTTGAATGCTTAGATTATCTCAAAAATATCGTTTTTCTCAGATGAATTTTCAGTGAAGTAGAAATAGTTGGCACAGGTCATCGGTTCATTTCTGATATAGGAATGTCACAGATATTATGCGATTCACTTAGAAGAGTTTGGTAAGTGGTATTCAATAATAATGTAAAAATCCATCTGTGGAAATGTATGTGAAGAATCTAAGATCTGCAACATTTTCGACTCGCATACTCTATGAATTTCATAGGTGAAATTACGCAATGACATCAGTAAATGTTCCAAAATTTAGAAGAGATGATTTTAACTTACAAGATACCTAAAGATCTAGCAGATTTTCAGATGTTGAATAAAGATTTGATTTTGTGCGCCTTATGATCGACGGTGATCCAAATTATTCCATGGAATCGCCAAAAAAAAAGATTATAATAGACGTAATATTTCACCACCTGCATACTTGTGGATGCCAAAGAAGGTTAACTTAAGGTGGTCGAATTCCACAGCAAATTACCGAAAAGCATATGTTTCAACGGCCGTTTACAAAAAAACATCGCTTTTTTCTAGGAAAACGAACCATTTTAAAATATACTACAGACCATGAGAGGAATGAAGAAAACGTCTTATTATGAGCTGTTCAAACTTGGCTAAACTATCACTCCTGATCTATAACCTTATCTCTAACCTTATTACTCTTTCTGATTATCATTTATTAAAATCTCTGCTGAATCACTTCAGCACTTAACCATTTAGCTGAAAAAAAATTTCTTTCCTATGAGGACAAACGAAGCGATCAAATTTCAGAAAAATTTCTATAAAAAAAGGAATTTAAGAATCGGTTTTTCGATAGTAGAGTTGTACGAAGGTGGAATATAGATAACCAACCAATATTATACAGTTTTTTAGACAATATTTTTGATAACACTGATAATATTTTTGAGATAGCCTTGTAGTTAGAATCCATACCAAATATAATTTTTGAAATTCTGTTCACATTAGTTTCAATTAGTTTCAGATTTATGAAAAAAAATGAGAGATTATCACTTGAGATTGTCCATGGATGGGACCAATTTTATTCCTTCAATTAAATAACAAATGTTCGATTCGAGATCGCCCAATTTTTCAATTGCCATTCTTACTTTGTACGATACTTCCTGAATAATACGATAAGATAGAAAATAAGGGAGAAATAAAATAAAAAATCCGTTTGTTTAATAATGACAAGAAATTTTTTGCCAATACGTTTGATGATTTCTTTAGCAAACAATTTCACATGAATTATCTCCTTTTCCTGTATAATTAATAATGATAAAATGTGAAGGGGGAAGCTATTGAATCTTTATTTCATGCATAAACAATCTAATTTCGGATTAAATGAAACGTAAAATCCTAAACTCTCCTCAATATCACCATTAAATACGAGGTATCTAAATAGGTGAAAAAAAAAGAAAAGAGTTGAGTTGCTATTTATCGTTTAATTTTAGTGAGATTTATTTCATCAGTTCAGCAATTTCATCAACCAAAAAGAATATTTAAGAAATTATTCCCATTAGAATCCTCCAATATAGAAAGAAATTCACGAATAAAAAGGCTATAAAAATTATACAATCCTAGCCAAAGCCAAAAAAATCTTAGCCAATCTTATTATATGAACAAGATTAACGATAAATAACAAGATTTTGATATCAAATAAAAATATAAAATAATTCAAACAAAAATATACTTGGACGATTTGCTGTGAATTTGTAATGGTTTTTTGAAGCGATTCGAGTTGTTTCATTTGATTCACGAATTTATTATTCGAATATTTAAAGGAATCAAGCGAAAGTTGTTGCCAACGTCGTTCAATTTCCTCATTGATGTGAGTACCATAAAATCGTTGCCGAAGATTTTCTTCATCCACTTTGCTATTCTCCATTTTATCAATACCATTTTCATTCGTATGAATCTCACTAAAATTAACTGTTATTTTAAAATTATCAAAAATTGTTTAAAAAAAAAAGCAAAAAATATGAAGAATAAAAAAGTGCAAACAAAACGGGGTTAAAGGTCGAAACTGAAACCTCTCTCCTACCCTGTTATTCTTCATGGTTACACCAAATTTCAATTAAATGAGGCATTCAAATCCATATGCCACAGCAAGAAGTGGACAAACCAGTGAACTCGATGAACCTTTCCAAGTCATTTTTAACAGTTCCATCAAAAATTATCGCATTTCTTTCCAACCTCAATCTAAAAGATGTGCAAACCTGAAATCTACGATATCACGACGATCTTCGCCTTCACTATTATCTCGACATTCATCGTCGGTTTCAGATGCCTCACCAGGCACAATAAGTGCATAGATTGACATTCTAGTTTCTGGTATACGTCTGCAAAATCGTAGAAGCCAAAATGTTTGTCATATAATACGGTCAAATACATCAATTCAATCGTTCTTTAATCAGTGTGCTTTTAGACTGTTTTGCTTTCAGTAGTGAATTCGTGCTAGTACCATTAATAGAAAATTTGCTAGTACTTCCAAAACTTTTATTACATTACGGAGCAAATACCTCGACAGAATTTTGGGAATAACCCAAATCATTATTCATCCTTGAATTTTTGCAACGCTCTAAAATATCGATTTACCAAACTATTTACCCAGAATCGCCCAGAAATTGCCCAAAGAAAAGTAATATTTTTACACGAAGAATATAAGCATATTCTCGAAAAATGCTGTAAAAAATATTTTCAATATCTAACTTTTATTAGTTCAACATGAAGAAAAATATCATATTTTAGATGCATGATCAATGTAACAACTTTAACCTAAAAAAAAATCGAGATACTTTATAATTACACGGGTTTATAAACAAACGCGAATAAACATTTAGCAATAAATTCCAGTAACGAAACTAAATAAAAATGACTTAAAGGAGAGAGAATAGGCCAAGAATAACAGCTTAAGATGCAAGTAACATGGCTGAAGACCAATTCTGCTTCATTAAGTGCAACTCCATGTGTCCAACTCTCTGCAATGACAAAAATCCCCACAACCCTTTTCCTGCCAAGACAAATGGGCAATTCTAACAGTCAATTACCCGCAATCTTTCATCCAAGCAAAATATATTTATTCATTAGCCAAAGGAAAATGAAACATGACCTGTAAAAAAAGGAGAACATCAAAGCAGTGTGATAAGAAAATCCGACAAAAAAAATTTCTTTCAGCGATCGCGTTAAAACCCGCATATAAACAATGGTCAATTCCCCTTTTAACTACCATTATTCATAATTAAATATTGATGACGAGAAAAAAGAGGGGGCGGAGGGATGAATAGCCGACTCAATTTCATAAAATTTGAGCACCCAAAAAATTTAGAAATTATGGTACCCAAAACAGAACGAAATGAAAAAATAACAGAAAAATAATAAAATTCCATAAATGTGAATTAATATAACAATCAATAAAACAAAAAAAATTAATTGGCTGAACTCGGCGAAGATAAAAGATCCCCGTTTCCCTCCTTCCCCCTCCCCTACGGAATCATGGAAAATGGAGAAAATAAATCATGCAAAAAAAGTTACCTCTAACAAATCTACTTTTTTAAGCCTTGAAATATTTCGAATACCCGAAAATAAAAGAAAAAACGGCTCGTACAAAGAATGCATTAAGTGATAAATTCAAATATACATCTGTTGTTAGCTAGTTGTTTTCCGCAAAACTTTCCATGAAGTATCGATTAAACAATTAGTTTCTTTTCGCTTAAATGATAGCTGAAATGAAACTCTCCCCGTCATTATCAAAAGTTCAACAATTACACTTCTATAAACAATATTTGAAACAAACAACGAGCTGAAAATGAGGCCAAATAAAAACAGCAAATAGCAAAGAGAGAGAAAAATTCTTTTAACATCAATCTATCTTTTATCACGGCAAAAATTTCTTACCGTGAATTTGTTTTAAAATCTTGATTCACGATTTCCCATCACCGATACGGCGAAATTTTATTTTTTAACTTAATTTATTCTTATATGATTAGAAATTAATGAAATAACAAGACAAATAATAAAAAAAAGACATAAGAGAATAACAAAACAAGCCAAATGAATTGCACTAAACAAAATTTTAAGTTCGCCCAACACCAGCCATACCAGCAAGCACGGCTACAGCGAGACTTTCTTTCTCGCTAAGATCACGTCGTTCACGAATTAAAAAATCAAAAATAATATTTACATCCAAAAGTAGAGAAGAATCACTAAACAGTGGAGTATTTGAAGCGCTACAAGCATCAGCATCCGAAGATGTCGACCAAGCATCTGGTGGCGGCGAAGTACGTTGCTGTTGTTCATCGCTAGTTGTTAAAACTGGTGATGGTGTCGGCTCTTGCACTGAAGCAGTACTTGGTGGTGGTGATAACCACTGTTGTGGAATTTGCTGTTGTTGTTGCCGCTGCTGTTGCTGCTGTTGCTGTTGCTGAGGCAAGAAAGACGAAGCAAGTGCTGCACCCAAATGTTGATGAAGCGCTGATGCTTGATGCACAGCAGCAAGCTGATGTGCAACTAATGCCTGTTGTGCCTGAAATTGAAGATACGGCAAAATCGCTGAGAGATTTCCGTCCAAACTATTCGCTAATTGTTGTGCATTTTGCAGACCAAGTGCTGCCAGCAAATACTGATTGGATGGATGAGCAAATGCAGCAAGTGACGCAGCAGCAGCAGCAGCAGCTGAAGTTGACGGAAATGCAGCAGCGGGCCATCGTGATGAATCAAACAGGTTAGAGGCAGCAGCAGCAGCTGCTGCTGCTGTAGCTGCATTCGGTATGCACATCTTTGAATCCATCGTTAATTGAGCTTGCCTTATTTGATCTGGTGTTGATGACGGTGACAATAATGAATGCGCTATCTCCGGGACCTAAAATATACACCGCATCGATACAAATATATTTCCATTATCACGTCAAAAATCAAATATTTGGGCACAATAACTAGTTGGCACTAGATGACTCGAAACTTATACTCTCCTTTTCGATCCATTCACGAATCCCGAAATTTCCACTTTTTCCCCACTTAAATTTTTTGTTTTTTACAGGATTTATAATATTCGCCCTCTGCCGAAGGTACATAAAACAACATTCCGACCCGACCTAATGTTAACAGTTTTAAAAAATTTGAAATCTTTTCAAAAACTAGAAAATATAACACAATTTCATTTCAAAAAATTAAAACAAATTTAATTCTATTTTTATCTTCCATTTTAAAAAATAGAAAAAAACCAGTAATAATAAAAAAGAGTTAAATTAAAATAATATAAATTGATTTTGCATGAAAATATTATAAAATCTATTGTAACAAAGGTAAACCTGTTGAATACCATTCGAAACATGATAGGGAGATGTTGACGTTGTTAAATCGCTTTTTGATAGTAATAAACTTTCACTGGCCTTTTGTAAATTAAATTCAGTTTTAACACCATCGGAATTATGCATCGTTGTATCAATTATCATATTTTGATGCTGTCTTTCCTGTTGGCGATGACCGATTATCTCTGTTTCACCTAAAAAACGAAAAACAAATATTGAAAATTTAGTTCACTTCATAAGATTTAAAATCTTTTCATAAATATATAAACGAATATTTTTTGTATTTGACGAATATTTTTTGAATATAACTATTTTTTGATATTTTGATATTAGCGGGCGCGGATTCAACAATTAACCAAACTAAAACTCGCCCACGATGAGATAAAATGAATTAGGAAATATTTAAAAGCAGTTCAAAATAAATAATATATAAATGTAATATAAATGAATGAATGAAGAAAAGAAATGTAAACAAACAGACGAAAATTGAGGATGAGAAAATAGTTATTTGGCTGGCTGCTTAGTTACTATTACCACTATTATTATGATGAGAGGGCGATGGACCACATGATAAAAAGTAAACCTTAATTCGAGCAAAGGTTGATTCATGATAAATCTTAACTCTTCGCCTCTTATCGTTCATCAAAATTAGTAACGAGACGAAATAAATAATAATTGTTATTTATTATTCAACCAGTTCTCTCTCCCTGTAGAGGATTCTCCACATACCAATAAATGTTTTTCATTTATACAGCCATTAAACTATTGTTAAATCTAGAACACAATATAATGTAATAGAAGGGCAAATAATTTTGTGATATACTTTGATTCCTATCCCGTAATAGGAACAACTTCATGACAACCCGGTTTGCACTACACAAACTATGCATAATATTTTGACCTTTAGGTTTTTCTTAGCTCCTTAGCACATTTAATCAACAACCAAGACAAACGATAAGTATATGCTGTTAGAAAATAAACATATGCCGCTCGGACCTAACTGTCGCTTCCTTTCTCAATAATCAAAATCTGATCCAAAAAAAAATAAATTACAAAATTTAAATAGCAAACAATAGTAGAAAAGACAATGAAAGACCAAAAACTAAATTTTTTTAGAAATCAAAAATAAAAATTCGTTAAGAAAAAGACAGAAAAACGTCGAATTACGATAAAAAATTATTCCCATAAAGAAAAAAGCAAAAAACAAAAAAATATAAGGACAATGTCAGACAAAATAACAATAAAATTCCATCACCAGCGGCAAATAAAAAATAAAAAATATCTACGACGCTGCGCATTAGTATTTCGTAAAAATCGACTTCGCGGCTGAACATCCATCCAAACTACCAAAACACGTCTGCCAACATAAAATAATTGAACTATTTCATTTGAAATAATAACTATTATAATAATAAAACCATAAATACCTATAAACGTAATTTGTCGAATTTTATGAATATAAAAAGGGATATAAAAAGGTATATAAATATATGAAACAATAAATAATATAAAATAATAAATAAATTTCGTAATAACAAAAATCGATAAACAATAAACTTCAATGCTTATCAATCAATTACACTTTTCAAAAATGACATATTTAAAATTATTTCATATTTCACAATTCTTAAAAGAAAATAATTTCATTTAATTCTCGTTTTAAACATAATATACGGAAAATAACGCATAAAAATATATGCGTATAAAAATTTATAATTTAAAATTTATAAAATTGAATTTAAGAAAATGACCTAAACAAAAGGTCAAAGGACAAATTACTGGGACCAATAAAAAACCTTATAAAAAACTTTCCCAAACATTTTCCTCCCTCATAAAGAAAAGGATTATAAAATATCTGAAATATTTCCACAACTCACTTTAAAAATTTTCAAGTTTCAAAAACAAGTTATTCTCTTTCCCTTATCTTTTTTTTATCTTTTCTCACGTGAATATGAAACGCACGCACACATGCGGTTAGTTCCTTTTATCACACGCAAATCGATTGCCCGATATACCACGTCTGCCATGTGCCGTGTACTAACCACGTCCACCACGTGAACAACAAACAAATTTAATTGATGTGAAATTTTTTAACAAAATTATAATTCATTGCTACACAAAGGAATATTATAAAATATAGAAAAAAGAATGGATAAATAATAATTGGAAAAAAATTCGAACAAAACGGGATACGCTCGGTGAAACGCCATAATATTAATTACTAAGGAAATACGTAAAAATATCAAAGTTCCACAATCCCCTTCCTCTCTCAATTACACTCATCCTTCTTCCCTCAGTTATCCCAGCCTGTGCTCCATCTTCCTCCAATAAATTTTCTCTTTAACATATAACTTGTGAACCTATATTATACAAAATTTTCCATTTTCAAAAGTCTACAATTCATTTTGACCTTTATTGATCCCTTCAAAATCCTCCTACTAGCTCCCCGACTCCTCTTAAGATAATTCCCCACACCTAACCGCTCCTACGGTCCGCTGCAAGTCCTCCCACTTCCCCCTCTCTCAAAGTACTCGCCAACCTATATGACGAATAATAAAACATCAACAACGGCGCACGACACTGCCACACAACCGCCAGACACAAATCGTTGCTATTCAAACGTTTCCTAACTTTTCTCTATCTTTTTGCACTATCTCTCTGACACTTACTATTTTCCAGAGTTCCGCCGTTGTCTGATCCTCTCCCTGCTTAACGCTCTATCTACTTTCCTTTCAATCTCTCGCCAACACACATTATCCCTCATTTTTTTCTTTGTTCTCTCTTTATATAATGAAAAATTCGATTTTTTTTCTTTAATAAAATATTTGTTTGGCGCGAAACTTTTCTTAGCAAAAATTCACTACTGTTGAAAGGTTTTAGGGTTTTGAAAAATTCATTCATTGTAGAAATGAAAATCATATTTTCTTCAATTTCTATATGAAAAGTCATTAAACGTGACCTCCGTGATATTGAATACGACAGATGACGTAATCACTCACGTTTGACATAATAAATATCATGCAATCACATAAAACGTACAATTAATATTTAAGTTCAACTAAATTTTATCATGTACGCTATCTAAATAAGACATAAAAAACGTAAAAGGTCATCACGTATAGCATTAAAAAACCAATGAATAAAAGAATAAATGAAAAAATTAAAAAAAGACGTAAAAATTCGATAAATGAAAAAAAATTATTTCAAAAAAATTGTTAAATAAAAATTTTACTCAAATGCACGTTTTTAAAAAAAAAAAACGAAATTTTTATTAAATATTTTCACGTAAAACAATTTTTGCACAAAAAAAAGAAAGAAGAGATTTTAATTAAAAGTTTTTATTTTTTAAAATTTAAGAGTATAAACCTTTGACTGTTGAACCTCAAACGATATAAAATATTCGAATAGCAAAAAATATCCGAAATATTATGTAAAATATTGTAGAAAACACAAATTTATCATAAAAAGAATATTAACTGATAAGTAATTGATAAACAGTTGGCACACTGATGATAAAAGTGATAAAAAGTTTATAGTTGATTGATAATAGAATTTATGTTGCAAAAGTTGGAAAATTTTCATGTAAATTTAAAAAAAAACGATAAAGAAATTTATGAGGTCAATTGGTTTGACCTTAGATCAACACGCATAATCTGAGGTTATATAGAAAACTATATATAACAAAGGGAACACTTCGGTAGAGAGGATGAGGAATGGGGGGAGGGGGGGAGCGAGAGGTTGAAAGAGATGGACCGTAAAGCCGAGTGAAGCTTCCCCCTACCACCCACTATCATCCTTTGGCTTTCCTCTTGAAGTATTTTTCAGTTAGTGGTGCAAATCTAATCAGAAATTGTGAGCAACAGAGAAATAAAATAATGCCCAACAGATTAAGTATTTCAACAAATTTTTTAAGTCAAATCTAAAATTTATTTGGTGATTTGGTGAAGGGAGGTACCACATTAAAGTACCACGTAATGGTACCAAAACGATGTTTGATGTTTAAATTTTTGAAAAATAATAAAAATAAAAAGAATAATAACGAAATATTTTTCCTTAATTTCATCGTAAAATAAACACTATAACTAACTAACTATTATTAGAATTGCTGTTGGATATTGGTGACCAACGATGGTGTTTTGATGAAGGATCGTTGGAATTTATTAAACGCGGTGAATCGGTGCAATCGGTTTTAAGACGTTGCTTGGTTTCTTTACGACGGCGATTAGCAAACCATCGATCAACCTAAAAGCTTATTTATTTTGAAAATGAAGCATGCAAACCAACATGCGCTTAAAAAATTATGCCCAAAGAGAAATTTTATTCCTCTTTCCTCCGATACTTATAAAAAATAACGTTTGTTTAAAGCCAAAATCGAAGGCCCTCACTGTAGTATAAAACGTGAAAAACGTGAAAATTTTAGAGTAGAAAAGTAAATGAAGTTTCTACAAAAAAAAAACCCTGAGAAAATTAATATTTCTACATTTTTGGGCATTTAGGCAAACACTCTGCGACTATACTAAACGTGTCGTAGATTGTTGAACGACCGACCAAATAGAGCAATTACTGCAGGTGTTACCGAACATTGTTGTTGAATTGTCTTGGCCAATGATTGATATCGGCCATTGTTGCGATTCTACAAATAGATGGACGATTGAATGAACAATCGTCTCATAAACTGGCATAGTAAACTGGCTCATTCATGAATATGGCCAATTCATCATGAAACCCAGAATTGTCACTTATTACGTTAACAAAGAATGAAACACTAAAATTTCATTCTATTATCGTTTTTCGCATTTTATAGCCTGTAGTATTATACTTCGGCGATTCAGCAGAAGAAATCAGTGGATGGATCACAGAAAACAATCATTCGATTATAGGCTCAACTATCCATTAAATGAACTCCATGGTACCAAAACGCCTTGAGATTGAGTTTCCACGAGAGTGATGTTGCAGGCAATAAGCTAGGCTAGGCTAGCTCGACATAACACTCATAGCTGGAACAGAGTACGAGTTGGCTGAATTTTCAATGCTCGAAGACAAGACAAAGCCTATTTCAACAGGTTATTTATTATCTATGGGAGAATTATAAGATTTGACTTTTAACCATCGCAAACTGACCCAAACAGATTACCCAACTACCATATCTTCAGTCAACCACTTACCTACTGAAATGTGAGTTCAGAGAATTCTTAGATCAACACAATCCAATTAGATTTTGTTTAATTCTCCTAATCTTTGGTGAATTCAAGTCATTCCGTTTTAGTTTTGCAATCCAAAAATAATAGTTGAAACCTAAATTACCGAAGAATTTAGTAGAATTGACCAGTTATGCGCAGTAAGCAATGAGCGAATCTTAAAATCTGAAGACCGCAACTAAAGATGTGAACTTTGAACTTCAAAGTACGTAACTAAATAGGATGAAAACCTATTATATAATTAAAAGGAAGATATTAAAATATCAAATACTGCTGTTGTGTGAAGATATGAACAAGATGCACCCGTGGTTTACAGCAGCTTAGATTATCATTTCGAACATAATGGTCCACCCGCTATCAGAATTCCAGTTGCACGAATGAGGACGGTACTCATCGGTACTTCAATGCCTCTATGCGAACCTCTTTGGCCCATATGAATTAGGTTTTAACCTAATCACTAGAGGAGAGAAATTAATCGCAAATGAGTGGTACCAACTGTATATAATTATTAAAAATAAATACTATTCCTTATATTTATAATTATTTGTAAAAAATTATAATTTTAATTCTACAATTGTCACAAAAAATAATAAAAAAAAAATTTGATTTGATTTTGAAAAATAACGAAAAAAAATGAAATACATTCGATGTCGATAAAATAAATAAATTTATATAAATAAATTTATGAAAAATTCAAAGCGCTTGGCGCTTATGGCTTATGGCTTAGGCTCGTCAAGTTAGCCTATTAGGGCCGATTAGTAGTTTTTTGCCAAAGACTCACAGAGCAAAAAGGTGAATGGCCAAAATTATAAACCATAAATTTTCATTTTTTATTTTTCAAATGTTTCAAATTTTCAAATTTTCTGTAATTTTAAATTTGAATAAAAAAAAAAATTTTCGCTAATTTTTTGGATGAATTTTTTACTTAAAATAATCCACTAATAAAAATTTTTCTATTTTTCTCGATAATTTTTCAATTATTTTTTAAAAATTTAAGAAAGAATTGGCTAAAATAAATTGTAAAAATTCATAGATCCCCTAGTTTTTTTTTTCCCCCAATCTTATTTCATAACCGTTTATTTATTTGAATTATATTTGTCTAGCAGGTGTCCTCGCCAATTATATGCATGACAGATGTCCTTCATGTCACCGAATTCGTTATGGAAAGTTACTTTTGGCGCCTAAAACTAGTTTAACAGATGGCTGATATTCCATCGTTATAAGTAATTTCGCGCATAAAATCATTTGGCCTTGTATTTTATATAGAAAATTATGAAAAAAAAACTGCAAAAAAAATTCGAAATTGAATATTAGAAAAGAAAAATTTTGATCCAAAAAAAACCTCCTCGGAACTCTTTAATTTCAATTAGAATATTTGAAATATTTATTATTTTTATATTTTATTTATTTTTTATATATTTTATTTTATTATAAATATTATTTTATTAATATTTTTATAATTATTTTATTATTATTTTATTTTTATTATTTATATTATATTATTTTATTATTTTTATTATTATTTTATTAAAATTTAATAATATTAATATTTTTATTATTCTCATTACAATGAATACTTAATCATCGAAGAGGTCATTTCAATAATACAAATCGTATTATTTTAAAAAGAATAGTCATCGTTCTGGATTTGTAGCGCTTTTTATTATTTTCATAACAATAAAAAATAAAAAAAAAGAATTACAATCGAGCGACGATAATGAAATTCATTTAATAAATAATGAATGAACTAATTGAACAATTGGATGGAGAGAAAGATGAACGGACTCGGATCGACGGAAGAATAAAAGAATAGATAGAAAAAAGAATGAATGAAGAAAGAAAGGAAAGAGGAATGAACCGAGGGAAAGAGGAAAGGATCGACCGAAAGAGGAACGAAGTGACGGAAAGAGGAACGAATAGATGAATAAATGGAACTAAACAGTTAATGAACGATCGAATTTAATTCATTTCGTCAGATACACTTATATATCGCAATTTATAACAATTATAAAAGTTGTTTAAAATTTTTAAATGTGAAATTTTTTTTTTTTTTTAAAGAGCATTCACCATTACTGGTTAGACTCGTTCCGCTGGCTTGTCGCACTCGACAAATATGCTAGGAGGTCGCCTGGCGACAGAACTACAACTGAATCGTCAACATCGCCCGCGGGTGAACTATTTAAAATGAACAAAATTTAGATCGTTTCGCTCAAATTTGGATCATCGCTAAATTAAACTGATCTGAATGAACTAAGCAATTTATGATTTCAAAAAATAACAAAGAATCTGTTTTCTATAATAAAAATTTTTATCACTGAAAAACTAGAATCGCATTCATCTTTTCTAATTTTTATTTCGATTGTTTTGTTGCTCATTTAGTGAATCGCAGTTTTTCGCACAAACCAGATTCATGCATTCTTCATTCATTAATTCATTCTATCGGTGAAAAAGACTGGCTGGCTATGCCTTGCGCTCATTCATTTTTATATCGATGCGACATAGGAAATGAGAAAAACACCATAAAAACACAGTGGGGGGGGGGGGGGGGGGGGGGGGCTGGTGGGAATATTTCGATAACAATATTTTTTAGTTTAACAATAAAAAGTCTAATTAAAGAAAACATATCCTCGAATATATCTTCCACATAAAACTAAAATGTTTTACTGGATTTGTAATCAACTGAAAAGGATTATTTAATGATAAATATATTAAAATAAATATATTAACAGAGATCTTATCAGTAGATAAAGAATTTTTTGAAAAGCCTTAAAGTTTAATTAAAATAATGATATAAGAGCGATCAACGCTAATCCGAAATATCTTATCAACAGATATCTTATCAGTAGATAAAGAATTTTTTTAAAAGCCTGAAAGTTTAATTAAATCAGAAAAAAAAAACGAAATTCGATTAATTATATCAAATTTCGTTTCGATAAATAATATTTTCCATTACAAATATTATTTACAGCGAATGGTCGGAATAATTTCAATTCAAATATTCCAACGAGAAAAGTAAAAGAGTAAGTAAATAGATGAAAAATTATTTTATATAAACCTAAAATAAATAATTAAATTTCAACAAAACGAGAAATTAATTATTTTCGTTAACGAAAAGACAAACGGCAAAATTGTTATGCTCTATGTGCTGATGAAAAATGAAAAATTTCGTTCAAAAACACGAACACTATTCGATACCACCGATAGAAATTTCAAATAAAAAAATTTAGGTGCATAGAGAGGATTGGGGGATGGGGAATGGGGGGGGGGGGGGGAGAGAGGGAGAAGGGGAAGGTCTGTCACCTAGACTATCACCTCAAGTGCCTTAAATGTAGTAATGAGAGAAAAAATGCTTAACGGTATCTTTTTCAAACAAAACTTGAGAACTCATAAGTAAAGAATAAAATTGCATTCCAAATTTTTCTTTCACCTCAATTTCTTACTTTTTATTCGATTTACTTCATGATTACGAACTGTCCCCCTCCCTTCATTTGTTCCTTTACCTGCGATATATATACGTTAGACATTTTATAAACAGAACAGAAGCCAGTTAAACAGAGAGTCGCGCTAAAGAATAAATCCGATTCAATATATGCAAAATCCAGCTGAACCGATAGAGCTATAGACAAAATCCAGTTCAACCGATTAAGTTACATACTAAATCCAGCTCATGCCACAGATAAAATCCAGTTCAGTAGGCCATATCGCAGACAAAATCCAGTTCAACCGATCATGCCACAGACAAAATCCAGTTCCCAGCTTAACACACCATGCCACAGGCAAAACCCAGTTCAGTAGGTTATATTAGTAGACCAAAGCCAGTTGAAAATGTCGTATTAATGAAGCATTTATTATTCATGAATTGATATTCAAATTTATTAGAGTATAATATTCAAATTGAGTTGAATATTTAAAAACTATAAAGGATATGACAAAAATGAAATGAACCTGAATATATGTCATACACATATCCCTTGCGAGTCGTTCTTTCTCCTGACGACGAGGATATAAATTATCGCCGTGACGAGAAAGCCATTCATCGAGTAAAGCGCTCTGTAAACGTCTTTTTTTTTTTCAGGAAGAATCAGTTCCGATGAAATCCAAAATCATTAAGAAATTTTCAAAAATTTTTGAAAAAAAAAACATATACACTGATAAATATTTAAGAAATTTTGGTTCTGACTTCTCTTTATTCAAAATGATATACATAAAATTGCATTTCATAGAATTTTCCAAGATTTTTTTTTCGAAATATAGAAAAAATAGGAAAGAACTACGAGAAGAAAGAGAAGAGAACTGGGCAAAATGATAAGACAATCATTTCTGATGTTATCACTGTTAGGTATTACAAAGTTGTTGTTAATGATGAACATTGAGATGAATGAGATGGATCGTCTATGTATGGGATTTTTTGTCAAGAAAAATTGAATTTTTTCCCAATTTTTAAATTTCAAAATTCTTAATTTTTATTAAAAACCGAAAAAAATCCTTGAAATAAAGAT